ACCACCCCAAACTAATTTATCAGTACAGCAGCCTTAAAATTATGCCTGCTCTTTTTTTTTGTTTAAAGGTCAGCCTGTTCAACTTGGCGACTCTTTCTGGAGTGACAGCACATGTGCACAGAAGTGCACCTGCACCAACCAAGGGCTGCAATGCTCCAGCAATCCCTGCTCCTTCTCCCAAATCTGTCGGCCAGCTGCCTTTCAGTACTCCTGCCAGACAGTGCAAAGACGAACCTGCACCGTCAGTGGAGATCCACATTACTACACCTTTGACAACTCAGGGTTTCACTTTCAAGGCACATGCACTTACATTCTGTCAGAGCAGTGTCAGAATGGACTGCCCTATTACAGAGTGGAGGGGAAGAACGGGCATCAGGGCAGCAGGCATGTTTCATGGACACAACTGGTCAAAGTCTTTGTCCATGATGAAACTATTGAGCTGGTTAAAGGACATCAGGGTCAGGCCAAGGTAACAGGAATTTCTTACTACCGGTAACATAGACCCTACATTTTGTGTTGTGTTTATATTTGTAACTATTTTTGTTGCCATCCTTACAGGTCAATGGAAGCTTTGCAACCGTACCGTTTTCCCTCAGAAACGGCTCTATCCAGGTTTATCAGTCAGGTTTCTCTGTGATCGTCAGCACTGACTTTGGCCTGATGGTGTCATATGACAAATATTTATATGTCCGGATCAGTTTGCCGTACACTTACCAAAATAGCACATGTGGACTCTGTGGAAACTTCAACAATCGCCCTGAAGATGACTTTAGAACCCCTCAAGGTGAAGTGGTGAGCTCTGATGTGGTTTTTGCCAACAGCTGGAAAGCATCTGGTGATGATGAGCCTGGTTGTGACCCTCAGTGTGAAGGTCTGGCCTGTGCCGGCTGCACAGAATCTGAGGCAACATTATACAGAAACTCTGCCCACTGTGGTATTCTGGAGAACAGCACAGGACCGTTTGCTGCATGCCATCAACAACTCCCTCCAGGATTTTTTGTAGATAGCTGTGTGTATGATCTCTGTGTCGGCGGAGGGTATCAACCCATTCTGTGCCAAGCCCTAAATGTCTACTCAAGTCAGTGTCAACAAAATGGGATCCAGCCACAAAGCTGGAGGCATCCTGGCTTCTGTGGTATGTCTGCCAGTCAGTCGCAATAAGTTTACAATGCAAGTGGTGTTAAATATTCAAAGTTTGAGAATAAATGTTTCTTGTGTTTAGAAATCCCCTGCCCAGCCAATAGCCACTATGAGGCCCAGGGTACAGGATGTCCATCTACATGTGTCAACCCCAATTCCACCTACAACTGCCCCCTGCCTGATCAAGAGAGCTGTGTCTGCAATTCAGGCTACCTCCTGAGTGGAGGGGTCTGTGTCCCTCATGCTGACTGTGGCTGCAGCTTTGAGGGTCACTACTACCGCTCAGGAGAAACTGTCATACTGGATGCAGACTGTGGGAGGCGCTGTACATGCAGCTATGGCTCCATGACTTGCAGCTCTCACAGCTGTGGTCAACATGAGTCCTGCAGGGTGGAGGATGGAGTAAGAGGGTGCACACCAAACAGCTTTGCAACATGTTGGATCAGAGGCCCAGGATCATATCATACATTTGATGGAGTGATGTACCAGTACCCAGGAGCATGTCGCTTGACCCTTGCCAAAGTTATGGGATCCTCTGATCACTCACACTTCATGATTACTGTGGAAAAGGTTCCACAGGGGCCACAGGGTTTCTCCAATGTGTTAAAGTTTGAGGCAGAGGGAAGACAAGTTGCTATTGAGATGGCAAGTAGTAGCACTGTTAAGGTGAGTGACAAATA